CCCACTGCTGGACCTCCTGATGGCACCTGGTATTTTTAGCTACTGTGTGACAGAGTGTTGGACTGGATGAGCCATTGGCCTGATCCAACATTGGCTTCTCTTAGGTTCTTAACAAGAAGCAATTCTGCCTCTGGACCCAGAGATCCCATTTGGCTGTGATTCTTTAATGTAATGAAATACAAACCGGGAATGCGGTGGGTAACACTAGAATAAACAACGCAACAATGCATAAAAGCAACCTGTTGGATTCTATATTGAAATCATTCTAACAGGTAACATTCACATATAACCATATGCTGTGCTTTACAAGTGATATTGCAACCTCATTTGTGCCTATTTAAAGATATGTACATCAGTAATCTCAGCGTATTTCTACTACACAGCGTCTAACATGAAAGATTCTCAGACACTTAACTTAGAGCTGGGGTGTCTGTCAGCTGGCAATCAAGTACACGCTTGTAGAAAGGTTTTACTTTATTGAAGCCATGACGTACTGGAACATAGTCACTGTTCAGAATACAGAAATGGGCTGTGCAAGGTATAATAAAGCAAGTTCATAATTCTAGTACCCAATAGACAAGATTCCCGCGCGAGCGGCTGGAGTGTCGTGAGTGTCTGCTGAGTCTTGCACCGCTGGCTCTCTAGTCTACCCATATGGGTTTTCCTTTGCACCTCCCCCCCCAGCCCATGAGGCCTTGCAGCAAGGATACCGCAACTCAGAGCTTACCAGCTGCTGTCCTTTATACAGTTTATGTCTCCGGTACCTGACATTATATTTTATGGGACACATGGTCCGGCCCGACAAAGTGACGTTTATGTCAAACCCGGCCCTTGTGACAAATGAGTTCAACACCTGTGACTTAGAACAACTTCTTCTTTTTTTATATGTATATATTTTATTTTCAACATACAAAACAAACATAAAAGGGGGAAATTCAATTTCCATTTCTTCAGTATCATATTGATGCCAGATTTATCATAAATTTGTATATTTCACCTTGTAGCAATAACCATGTCACTTGCAAATATATCTTATTTATAGAATAAATGCCCTTAAACACAGTTTAAATGACTCTGTTGATTACTTGGAATAATCTTCAAACCATTGATAAAATCTTGACCATGTATTCTCGAATACAGTCTCTGGTTGTCCTTTCAAAATCAGAGTTATACTTAGAGCAACTTCAACAGGGTATCACAATTTTTAACAACCATATTATACTTGAAAAACCTTCTTGTTTTTGTAGTCTTCTTTGTGAAAAAAAATCTTTATATACCGCTTATAGCAAACCAAAACTACTTCATAGCGATCCAATGGATAACCACGGATGTTCTTCCGTTTCAACGTCCTCTTTCTCAAGAATCTCCATGTGTGCACAGCCATCAGTTCTTAAAGAACTTCACCAAAGCTGTCTGAGAGCTTGCTGCTTCATTGACTGAAACGTACCCTCTTCCTGCAGAAGTTTAAAGGGGGGGGGTTTCCGCTTTACCACTGGAAAGAACTATTCTAATGATCTCTTCACAAAGAAGATTACAAAAAAAGAAAGCTTTTCAAATATAATCTGGTTGTTAAAAATTGTGATACCCTGTTTAAGTTGCTCGAAGTTAAGTGTTTGAGAATCTTTCATGTGATTTTTTTTAATAGCAGACCCGTCTTCCATAAGCATGTCCGACCCTTTTATAAATCTAAGCCAGTGGTCATCACCAATGCTCCCTCTAAGCTGTGGAGTCTTGTGAGCAAAAATTCCACTTTGTGAGCTACTGGCATTAAAGTTTTGAGCGAGTGATTTGGCTGCTGCATAAATTAGTTTCCTCTGGAGCCATCCTCCCTGAGCTATAAAGTGGTGTTTTTTTCCCGCTTTACCACTGGAAAGAACTATTCTAATGATCTCTTCACAAAGAAGATTACAAAAAAAGAAAGCTTTTCAAATATAATCTGGTTGTTAAAAATTGTGATACCCTGTTGAAGTTGCTCGAAGTTAAGTGTTTGAGAATCTTTCATGTGATTTTTTTTAATAGCAGACCTGTCTTCCATAAGCATGTCCAACCCTTTTATAAAACTATCTAAGCCAGTGGTCATCACCAACGTTCCCTCTAAGCTGTGGAGTCTTGTGAGCAAAAATTCCACTTTGTGAGCTACTGGCATTAAAGTTTTGAGCGAGTGATTTGGCTGCTGCATAAATTAGTTTCCTCTGGAGCCATCCTCCCTGAGCTAAGACAAAAATCTGTGAGCCGGAGGCTAAAGAACAGTGAGCTAGCTCACACTAACTCAGCTTAGAAGGAACACTGGTCATCACCACATCTAATGGCAGTCAGTTCCACAAGTCATCTTCCCGTTGTGAAGCACAGCAGTACTTCTGTTTGTGTGTCTTCATCCTGCTGCCAGTTGGTTTCACAGGTTGACCCTGAGTCCCGGTATTATGAGACAAGAGTGACAAAAAACAGTCCCTCTGACTACTTTATCTACTACACCATGCATCATTTTGTAGACCTTTGTCAGGTCACCCCTCACTTGTCTTCTGTTCTACATAGGGGTCCCCAGCGTGGTGCCCACTGACATCTTTCCTGTCGTCTGATGTTTTTAGAAAGTGGGAGGGCCCAGTTGGGGTTGTTGGCCATTGGAGATTTGATTGGCTGTGCAGATTTTTTAAAAGGCAGCTTTGGCAGCAGCTGCCACCACAGCACAAGGATTTTCACTGTGTGACTGAAGTTACGTTGCAGCAGTCGTTTTGTGGCTGGTTCCGCTTCCTGCGGCAGCCATTTTGTGACCCTGGTTCCGCCTCCTGCAGCAGCCATTTTGTGACCGCCATTTTGCGAATGTGTCCACCATGCTGTGTCAAAATCCCAAAAGTTCCCACAGGCTCTAAAAGGTTGGGGGATCCCTGTTCTAGATGCATCCAGCTAGCAAGGATGGGAAAGAGAGGAAACGAGAGAGAGAGAGAGATTTATATGGATTATTTCTTGCTTGCAGGAAGCACTGGATTGGGCCATGAGGAACCAGCTGTGGGGCCACGCTCTTTTTCTATCCAGCAAGATGGACCTGAGGACCTACAGCTGGGTCCTGACCGGGTAAGGTAGATGGCAGTGCTGGAAGAGTTCACGCTCCCAGTCCTCTGCCCTCAGCACCTCACTGCTCTTTCCTCTCCTTGCAGGTTCACCAGCACTCTGGCCTCCAATGACCCTCTGCAGACGCTGTTCCAGCTCATGTCTGGTAGAATCCCCCAGGCATCCCTGGTATGGAATCCAGCCCTCTCCTGCTGCTTCAGGCTTGTCTAAATCTGGGACAGGCGTGTTGCCCATGCTGGGGTTGGTGGCCTGGAGGCAAAGGGGGACTGTCAGTAGAAGAGGGGTTCAGGCTGAGGAGGAAGGGCAGATGCAGCCACCTTACAGGATGAAGAACACTCTTAACCCCTTGTGACACCTAACCTTGGCTCCTCTGACAGTTGCCATTACCCTCCCTGGACATCAACAGCAGTGGCACTTTGGAGCGGCAGAGAGAATTGGCTGACATCTCCCTCCTCAGGAAGGCTCCCTCTAAGCTGTGGAGTCTTGTGAGCAAAAATTCTACTTTGTGAGCTGCTGGCAATGTTGTGAGCGAGCGATTTGGCTACTGCATAAATTAGTTTGCTCTGGAGCCATCCTTTCTGAGCCAAGACAAAAATGTGTGAGCCGGAGGCGAAACAACTGTGAGCTAGCTCACACTAACTCAGCTTAGAGGGAACACTGGCTACGATGGCGGTGCAGAGAATTACGGCCAGGGTTTTATTTATTAAAATGTTTATAGCCTGCTATTTCCTCGTGGTGCAAGGCAGCTTACAAAATCAAGTTTAAGAGAGCAAACAGGCCTGGCAGAGCTTCCTAAAACTGTCTAGGGGGATTTTGGTCCACAGGGTGGGAGTCTCAATAGAAAAGGAATGGGCTGTCCTGTATGCCAGGTGGGCTATGTTCTGCTTCTAGGACCCCTGGTTTGAAACCTCTGCACCATATAGAATTTATTTATTAATGTATTAATACCCCACTGTTCCCTGTGACAGTTTACAAATCCCAATTTTAAGTATACAAAATAAACCCTCCTCCTTAAAAACTATACCCAATAAACCCTCTTCCTTAAAAAAAAGGCCTGCAGTCTATTCCCCATTAAAAGAACAAATGCAAGTGGCACCTCCCATTGAAGGCAGACCCCCCCCCCCAGGATATTCTTCCTAAGGAAACTGGTAGCTGGCGTGCTTCTTAGCTTTGTCCCCTCTGCAGCATTTCGGAATCCATCCGGCTTTTTTCTTATTCATCAGGCTGCCGTGCGACATGCTGTGATTCCCTTTTGTATCATTTCCACCAGGCGTGCGAAAACGCCAGTGCTTCGCTTCAGCACAAGAGCCCAGTCCCCTTAAGTGTCTCTGGGAGATGCTGGCAAGGAGGTCTGCCCTGCTTATCCCAGCTGGTGACTCTGATAATGATATAGGAGCGGGAGCCCATCGTTGCTTCTTTCCAGAATGACATGCTTTGGTGTTGGATGGAGCCTCTACAGTTTAGCTTGTCAGACTTTTAACATGACATCTTATGGTTCCACAAGGAAGGACGAGGAGGAGGAAGATCAGAGAAGGTGTGGAAGAGCTTGTCTAGTGGACAGAGTCAGATGTAATAAAATGGGTGTGTTCTGGGCTAGGCCGGAGCACTGAGTGACCACACCAGAAAACCGTCTGGGGTGGGTGGGTGTTAGCTGATACTTTGGTGTTAGTTGAGCCAGTTTGGTGTCGTGGTTAGGAGTGTGGACTCTGATCTGGGAGAACCGGTTTTGATCCCCCACTCCTCCACATGTAGCTGCTGGTGTGACCTTGGGTCAGTCACAAGTTCTTTCAGAGCTGTTCTCTCAAGAGCAATTTCTGTCAGAGCTCTCTCAGCCCCACCTGCCTCGCAGGGTGTCTGTTGTGGGGAGGGGAAGGGGAAGGAGATTGTAAGCTGCTCTGAGACTCCTTTGGGTAGTGAAGGACGGGGGTATAAATCCAATCTCTTCTTCTTCTTTTTAAAATGTATAGATTATTTCATAGGTAAAACTCTTGAAGCCATGAATAATAACATGAATAATAACAGTTATAGAATAACATTATAAAATAATTATATGAAACAACGCTCAGTTAACCAACAATAACATCAAGAGGGAACTATCATAACCACTGATTCCCGTGTTGGGATCTGTCAGGCTGGTGTTCACTGTGGTTTTAGCCTGTGGTGTGGGCAGCAGCTTCCATAGGAGTTGGTGTACAGAAAGCAGGAAATACCAGGTTGGATCCTGTGGCTCTGTTCGACTAGTGGTGGCTCTTCCTTTGGTGCCAGGATCCTTCGTGGGAAGTCTCCTCGTATCACAGGCAAGTGTCACGGCTAACAGAACAGCTGGATGGGATCCAGCCCAATGCTCCCTCTAAGCTGTGAAATCTTGCGAGCAAAAATCCTACTTTGTGAGCTACTGGCAGTAAAGTTGTGAGCGAGCAATTTGGCTACTGCATAAATTAGTTTGTTCTGGAGCCCTCCTTCCTGAGCGAAGACAAAAGTGTGTGAGCCGGAGGCTAAAAAACGGTGAGCTAGCTCACACTAACTCAGCTTAGAGGGAATATTGATCCAACCCTCTGTTCTTTTGACCAATCAAGAGTCCGAAGAGTGAGATAATAGAAGTGACACCAGGCTTGGCCAATCCAGGAGCTTCGTACAGCCTGCCTATCACAAGGGCTAATATTACACATCCCCATCCTATTCTGTGCCCAAAGAGGGCTATGCTTCCTCAGCCACAGAGCCCCAAGTCTGTTATCAGGCTAAGTTCCAACCTTGAGGCTCCCAGTTTGCCCCAGGTGCCTTGGCCAGGTCCTCTCCTCAAGATTCTTAGTGCTCTTTGGTTTATTGATTGGTTTGAAACATTTATAAGCCCACCTGGTTCCCCAGGTAGCAGGGACTCAAGGTAGAAAACAAATCACCACAACTCTAAAAATGACAGAATTAAAACAACCCACAGAAAGAGAAAAAAAGGTCCCACAGAGACTGTTGTCTTTCACAACCCACAAAGAAACCATATTGAGGATCTAAAGGCTCTTGTGAAGAGCCTTTTTGTGTGAAAACATGACAACATTGAATTTAACATCCTGGTTTTGTGCTGTTTCCATCTGTAAATTGCTTCTGCTACTCCAGCGATCATTTTCATTGTTTGTTTTCTTTGTGTGTGTTTGTTTTTGCATTGTACTCTGCCTGGAGGATTGCTGGAAGGACTGATTTTCTTTGAAGTAAACAATGTTTCTTGTTTCCTACATTTTCCTCTCTCCCCCCCCCCTTTCCCAACAGTGCTGTGGGGATGACAAATGGGGAGACTGGAGGCCGCACCTGGCCGTCATCCTGTCCAATCAGGTGGGAGATGCCGAGCTGAACCACAGAGCTGTTGTCACCATGGGAGACACACTGGGTGAGAAGAGTCACGAAACGGGAACGCATACACTTGCACACACAGTATACAGAGAAGGAGAACCGCATTCTTGAAGAATGCTTAAAGGGCTGGTGTGGCTTAGCAGTTAGAGTGTTGGATTAGGATCTGGGATGGGTGGGTTTGAATCCCCTACTCTGCCACGGAAGCCCTCCAGATGGCTCTGGGCCTGTCACAGTCTCTCAGCCTGACTCTCACAAGATTTATTGATGTGAAGGTTAGATGAACAATAGGAAATTATTGTTATCTCATGGCACTGCGTGTAGTTTAGCCAGGAAATCCTAAAATTGTCTGGAAGTCAGAAGTTCCAGCTCTCTTAGCATTATGCACCACTAGGTGGCGAGCTACACTTGTTTCGAAGGCAAGAGACGTTTCAGAGGTGGTTTGCCATTGTCTGCCTCTGTGTTACGCCCCTGGTATTCCTTGGAGGCCGCCCTTCCAAATACTAGCCAAGGCCAACCCTGCCTAGCTTCCCAGACCTGATGAGATCAGCCTAGCCTGGGCTATCCAGGTCAGGGCTACAGCAGGAAAAGCCGCTTTGGATCCCTGATAAGGGATAAAAATGGGATTTACATTCATGAGGACAGCATGATTTCTGTTTCTCGATGGTTGTTTCTAGCTCACATTATTCCAGCCAGGGATTTTTTTGCGGGGGAAAGAGGTGCCGGAACTCTCAAGAGGGAAATGAAGTTTTCAATCTGTATGCTGAAAACTCGTGAACTTTTAAACATTTTAAAAATAATTTTGTTGAAGAGGCTCCGGAACTCCATTCTGGTGCATTCCCCCAGAAAGAAAAGCCCTGATTCCAGCATCATAGAAATGTGGGAATCACGTGTGCGGGGTGGGGGGAATCATGTAGGAAGAGCTGTGCCCGTGTTGATCTTCTTGTCCAAACATTTGACAGTGCAGCACTTCTTTCTATGTGGATCTGTTTGACCTGTATTCTTCTTTTGTTTCCTATGTTATCAGTATTGTGGGAAGCAATGCCAGGGGACACTGGACTTCCCTGGAATTCAGGGAAGGGTGGGATAGTTATTACTCCCAACCTGGTAATTGGTTATTGTTAGTAAAAGGTAAAGGTTTCCTTGCTCGAAAGCCAGTCGAATCCGACTCTAGAGTTGCGGTGCTTATCTCCGTTTCAAAGCCGAAGAGCCAGCACTGTCCGAAGACATTTCCGTGGTCATGTGGCCGGCATGACTAAACACCCTTCCCACCGACGTGGTACCTATTTATCTACTTGCAATTTCTTGCTTTCAAACTGCTAGGTTGGCAGGAGCTGGAACTAGAGACAGGAGCTCACTCCGTCATGCAGCATACTCGGGTCTCGAACTGCTGGACTACTGACCTTCCACAGCCTGCAGTTCAGCGTCTTAACCACTTGAGCCATCGCAGCTCTGGTTATTGTTACCAAATTGTTGTTATTACTTTAAGATTTCACTTCACTTTTTACTTGTGAATGGAACACAATGACCATATTTAGGAAATTAAATAAATAGGATTGGATCCTGTGGATCTGTTCCCACTAGCACTGGTGTTTTCCTCTGGCGCAAGGAGCCTCCCTCAGTGCCTAGGGCTCTTGCAGATGGTGGATGTGCTGCAGGGTAGCCATTTTTTCTGCTGCTCCTCAATTCCTTGAGAGTGGAGGATCGGGGCCAAGTGTGGAGTGCCTCCATGGTGGGGGCAAATGGCAAGCCTCTGTGAGGAGAAGGGCATGTAGCTTAAGAAGCCATTGACATAGCGCACAGAAATGGGTGGGTCTGGCCAACAGAAGGTGGGACGGCTGTAGGAAATCTGAACCTGAAAGCCAAAATCCACTTTCCACCTTGCTTCTTTGTGCACGTCTGATAGATGCTGGGAGAAGAACATGTCATGCACATTTTCGTGTGCTTGGATTTGCATTTTTTTAATAACTTTATTTTTATAACTTTTCTTTATAAACATATAACTTTTTATAAAAAAATAAAAAATAAAATATAAAGTGCAAAATATAAACGTGCCCATAATTCAACTAATATTTCACTACTAACATACGTAATAATTCTTAGAACAATTAACATAACCAATCAATAAAATACAAAGTCAACATATTTAACAGGTAAAGCAGTTGTTCAGGAAATAGTAAAATATTTTGAACAATAAACCTTCCACAGGTTTCAGCAAATGAGATGAAAGACTGGGATGTGTTTTTAATTCTAGGGAGAAAACTTGCATGGCAACATCAACCCCCCCCCCC